GTAGTACTAGGTACAATACATATGTATATACATGCATAATGTGGTTACACTTTTCAATGCAGTAGTGCAGCAGTGTCAGTGCAACCAACAAATTGCCACAAAACTTAGACCACTTAGACGTTATTTGTCAGAAAATGTCTTGTATTGCTACTGAAATGTTAGTTCGAAGTTTATGCTATTTAAAAACTATTTGTAATCAAACGTTGTTTGATACTTTGTAATTATTATAACAGCGAAAGTAAGTTTGAACAACATCATGTTGTACGTGTATTTTAACTCAGAGTGATGTCATAGAATATGTATACAAATTTATTCATATAATTTATCAGTTATTATTACTGATAATGTTGTTAGCATGATTTACTAGCTTCTGGTATATTATTAGTATTTTAATTATTTAGGGACACGTTTGCTATTTTTTATTTTGTAACATTCAATAATGTAATGACAGCCATATAACCTCAAAAGTGTAACAAACTATTACACCATTACTTTACTAAAATAATATTAAAATATTATTATCGTACGTGACTTACTTATTCACTTACAGATATTGTTAGTTTAGTCCCTCCTTTTTTATGAAATGTAATATTTGTTGAAAATGCTTGTGTTTACAGTATTTTATACAAGGCAGTGACTTATTAAAAAGTCTGGCTGTCAGTATGTTATTGATAAAATTATTCTTCCTTTAGTTTAGGATCCTATATTTTGAGTAAATCACTAAGGGAACAATGTAATTGGATTGTTCTATTTTACAGAAGGCCATTAAAAATGGCTGATGTACGATTACTTATACAAGAAGAAGGTCGGGCAGCTAGAAATTTGATAGCTTTTAATGTACCAGTTGGAACAAGTAATAGTGAGAAGGTTACTAAAAAACCACCTAGTGTGCCAAGAATATCACAACAGAGTACAACTAAGAGATCAATGAAACCAACAACCAGAGTACGATCAGCTTCTACTGGTCGAGATAAAAAATCTGGTAAGTTACAAGAAAATAATGTATTATGTTGTCCTTAAACTTCTTTTCATAATGTGAATGCTTGTATACATGCTCAAGTTGTATACATTAATTAAAATTAAAATTAACTTCTTGGACCACCTTATATTATATTTTCTAGAATAATATTTACTGATTAACAGAGTACATGGCTACATGAATATATGACTATATGACTATAATACAATGTCAAAGTACATTGCTAAAAATTATGGTGGATAAAATATAAAATCTTCGCGTATAGTGTAGTGAAAACAATGAATGTTTAATGTTATTGCTATTTTATACATGAATCTGAAATTCAATTACTATTACCAAAAATAATTTGAAAATGAAAACTAGTTATATCTAATTCTTAATACATTTGCACTGTAGTCTATCAGGTGAATCATATGTCTGTCTCTTATACACATCTAGATGTGTATAAGAGACAGCTATCAGGTGAATCATATGTCTGTCTCTTATACACATCTAGATGTGTATAAGAGACAGCTATCAGGTGAATCATATGTCTGTCTCTTATACACATCTAGATGTGTATAAGAGACAGCTATCAGGTGAATCATATGTCTGTCTCTTATACACATCTAGATGTGTATAAGAGACAGCTATCAGGTGAATCATATGTCTGTCTCTTATACACATCTAGATGTGTATAAGAGACAGCTATCAGGTGAATCATATGTCTGTCTCTTATACACATCTAGATGTGTATAAGAGACAGCTATCAGGTGAATCATATGTCTGTCTCTTATACACATCTAGATGTGTATAAGAGACAGCTATCAGGTGAATCATATGTCTGTCTCTTATACACATCTAGATGTGTATAAGAGACAGCTATCAGGTGAATCATATGTCTGTCTCTTATACACATCTAGATGTGTATAAGAGACAGCTATCAGGTGAATCATATGTCTGTCTCTTATACACATCTAGATGTGTATAAGAGACAGCTATCAGGTGAATCATATGTAATTCTCACATTGAGTGGTATTATGTATATAATATTATACTATAACTCTCATTCAATATAAATACATAAATATACACTAAATAGCTCTTCTTTTATGTTAGAATTACAGGCAAGGTATTGGGCTTTTTTATTTGGTAATCTGCAAAGAGCTGTTGATGGTATTTATCAAACATGTGAAGAAGATGAAAATATTTCAGAATGTAAAGAAGTGATACTAGTTTTAGAAAATTATACAAGAGATTTCCATAATTTGATTGAATGGTTTAAAGTAAAATGGGCCTATGAAAATTCACCACCACCACTGAGACGTACTCCCCTAGCATGGGAAGTTAGGAAAACATCCCCTTGTCGTATCTGGAATTCTACAATGATTCCAAAATCCACTAGTCCTTTGCAAAGAATGAGCCCTACTGAATCTATGTGTCGAAGTCCTGTTGACCAAATTATTTCAGAAAATAAGACTATTTCCACAGATAATAAAGTCAGCCAAATAAAAGGAGAGTCTGCATATAAATTGATCAAAGATAATAAAGGTAACATCACCAGAAATAATTCAAATTTAAGTGAAAAATGTAAAAGTCCAATAGATAAAGGAACAAGTCAAACATTGAACAAAGACAAACTAACCTCAGTGAAAGTAAATAAAACCCTTGTAAAACATGTAATATGTTCAAAAACAAGTGGTAATGCTACGATAGATCAAAAACCAAACGAGAGTTCGCAACGTGATCAGAAAAGCAAGTTGGACTCCAAAAATGTTTCAAAACCAGTTAAAAATACATTGCACTGTAATTCTACCAAAGTAGCAGATTCTAATGTAATACTCGAGAAAACTGAGCAAGTAATTCAGGATGATAAAAATGTACAATTAATTACAACAACAGAAAAAGAACTTTCTAAATCTGTTGTTACAGATAATAAATTGAATGCTCAAAATACTCCACTGGTAAAGTCTGTAAGTCCTAGAAATGATTTAGGACTAGGGAAAAATGAAATTAATGCTAAAGTGAAAAAACAAAGCTCAGGGAAAAGTGTTAAAGCTGTTTGCATAGAAAATGTAACTGCTGAAAATAAATTAATAGATTCTAACACCATGGGAAAAGAAAATAATAGTATCCTTGTAGCAAGTAAAAGTATACAGAGTATTACAAAAGTTTCAAATAAAGTTACCCAAAAACCAAAAACACAGTCCAATGTGAGTGATAATATAAATAATAAAATTGTTACAAAAACTGTGTCAGATATGTCGTGCAATAATTCAAATAAAGGGTTAATTCATGTCAACAAGCCAGCATATTCTACAGTATCGCAAATGAAGGTTACTAAAACGAAACAATCAGGCCTTCCTGAAACCCCTAAATTTTTTCGGAGTAAAACAACATTAAGTGACAGAAATATATCTGTTTCGAATAAAATAAAACCTGGAACATCCGTCATAGTGAGGCAACGATTTCAATCTTTTGATAATAAGGTATTCATCACTATTTATTAGTATTCAGAATATTCCTGATCATTTTCTGTTAAAATGTAATTGTTTTTGTTAGATCTCGGAGCAAAGTACACTAAAAAAGGATCAGAGCAGTAAAGATATAAATGGTTCAGTAGAAGTATTAACAAAACAGACAGTTACCGTAAAAACAAAGGAAGAGAATGATGGTTGGCAAACAGTTAGAGGCCGTTGCAGAAGAGGAAGTACTCATAATTTAAATATGTCTACAAGATTCCACAAACCGAGTACCGCTACCTCTTTACCAGCCCTATCTATAGAAAGTCCGTCAGAGAAAAATAAGAAGAAATGCTTGACTCCAGATGGAAATGGCAAACAAAAAAAGAAATGTATTGTGGAGAAAGAAGGGAAAAATATAAGTAACGAGGTAGAAAAGGTGAAGGGGGAGTCAGTCGCAAGCCTTACCATTAAAGATAAGGTAGAAGAGGTTTTCAAAAACACCGTTAATTTGAATGAAATAAATTCTACATCGATGATTGCAGCTATATTTAAAAGCGATGCAGAGTTACTCGAAAAACGTATACAACAATTTATGGCTGCTCAAGCGGAAAGAGAAAGGATAATTTTAGAAGAGGAAAGAAAAACGGAAGAGGCTGATTCTCAGCGGTCTCAACAGTTATCAGATGAAGAAGCATCCTTGCGTAGGCAAATTTTAGAGTTAGGGTGTGCGGAAACTGATGTTGACACAGAAACTGATGAGACAGATGGTGAGATGGTTCTTGAGATAGAAGATGAACCAGCAACATCTCCTACCACAGTGTCCGACGACATCAGTTTAGAAGATCGGTACATAGCATATTTGTTGCGTTTATCTTGCCTTTCGTTTGGAACAGAATTTAACTTGACATTTTTATAGGTATGGAAATGTGTTAGAGGGAATGTCTTGGGCCGAGTGTGTGGACACGCTTGCACAGTTACGTGCTCTAGTAGCTCGTCATCCTGGCAGAGCATTAGAGTTGCATCAAAAGCTTTCATCTCCATCTAGAAAAAGGTCACTACCTGAGACACTACGGAGATATCAAGCAAAACAGGCTTGTGCACAACATAAGCGTCAAAAGTTGTTGATGGAGAAATCACAGAGATTACGAGAACTGTTGAACAAAGTGAAAGACGTTAAGAGTGCTAAAAGCCAGTTGATAGAGGACAAGAGAATGAGAATGGAGGTGAAGTTGAAACGAGCAGAAGAGAATAGAACACAGCACCTATTAGAAATTGTTAGAAAAGCTCACGACGAAGACTCCAAATTGAAAGAAATTGCATTTATTAACGAACTTGAAGCACAAAACAAAAGGCACGATTTCATGGCATTGTGTCAAGAACAAGAAGAGCGATTACAGGTATATTATTTAATATCATGTCACTAATAAAAAGTTATTGTTGCACTTAACAATAATCTGATTTATAGGGAATTCAAGAAGAGCGTCAACGTAGGCAGGAAGAAAAGGCTGCTAAAGAAGCTGCAGCAGAAGAACGCAGGCGAGCTCTAGAAGCTGAAAGGCTACTGCGTATACAGAAAATGAAGCAAGCTCGTCGTGAGCGTGAAGAAAGAGTTGGTAAAATGCAGCTGGAAAGAGAAAAGGAGCGACAGGTAATTTCAAATAATCTTTTATTATTACAAAAATTTGTACCAATAACTATTAAATATGTATAGGAACTCGCAAGAGAAAAAGCCAGGGATCGAGAGGAACGCTTGTCGGCCCTTCATGCAGCTCAATTAGCGAATCAAGAAGAGTTACAAAAGAAAATAGCTCAAAAACAACAAGAATCTGCGAGGAGACATGTTGAAAATATAGAGCAGATTCGACAAAAAGCAGTTGAATCTTCGATTTTAAGATCAGAGGAAGTTCCACCAACTTTGAAATCATATCCCGCCCAGAAGCAATGCTCTTTGTGTGGAACAGTGGTAAGTATTTTTCACTGAGTTGCATTATGCATTCCGTTGTGACTGGTATTTTAATTTATTTATGTTAATACATATGGTTCTCTGGTTTACAGATAACGAATGAAGTGCATCTATTGAGTCATTTGAAAGGAAAAACACACGTTGAAGCAGTACGAAGTACACACGATGGTCGGGAACCATCTCGAGATGAGCTGCAGCGATTTAATATATTGCAAATACGTGATCTACCGATCTCGGTTATCGATAATAATAATTCCAATGAAATTAAAGCTGCGAAAGAAAAACAGAAAGCCTTAAAAAGACGATGCAGAAAAATGAAACAACGCATGATTTTACGTGGCAAAGAATGGGAAGACAATAATAAGAGCGATGTAAGTCAATCGACAGAGTCGACAAATAAAGCCAAGTTCCGTCGAAATTTGAAGGAACTGGATCGATTATACAATAACCATTCGAAAACAGCGTGGTCAAGTGTCGCCATTGCTGCTCTAGAACGTTGTCTAGGTGAAATAACAAGAGCCTTTTCAAAATTGGTAAGTCGCTATTTTTATATTACACCTAGAAAAAAATTGTTACCCGTGAAATACAGTCAACTCTATAATACGGTGGATGTAATACTAATAATGGAACATGTAATACTAATAATGTGACTTTGCTATTATTTTTTATGAGAACTGTTGAATTTTGATGCATGGATTCTTTGCGACCATTGTTCCTCCTAACGAGTACTATACGATTCAATAATAAAAAAATATAACCTTGACAATCAAACCCTTACGCGATGGAAATCTTTTTCTCGATTCTACTACAATTTTAATTCGCGATCCAAATTCTGTTATAAATTAATGCAAGCACAATGCAATTGTTACTATAAAAAAGAATAAAATGTAGGAATCAATAGGAATGAGATAAAGTTGATTCATTTTCTCCGATTAACAGTCTCTCTTTTGATTTGTTAAAATACATCGAAATTGTTTCCAAATGCTAGAAAAAAGTACACATCTGTTTATTAAACAATGAAGGGAACTGTTCATTTTTGTACTAATTGTATATTTTTAATGTAATGTTTCAGTGTCCACTCGATCAAAATGCATTTAGAAATTTAAATGGATTTGACGTTCTAACAAGTCTATTAAACTTAGGACTGCAAATGCAAAATGCATCTCACAATTTACCAAATAAGTACGTGTACAATTTAATTTTGAAGAAAGTTTAAAAGACGAATCGATATAAAATTTTGCTCCTACTTTATTTTTATTTTATTGTTCCAATTTGAAGCCTTTTTTTACACTAAGAGAGAGAGATTTTACGGTATATTTCTTTAGGGTAACAATTTCAGAGAATGTTTGTCATGTTTCAGAAGCATCATTTCTGTGTGTCGCGTGTATAAGCTTAGTGTCAGCGGGAACGATACTAACATTGAAGTAGTTTTATCCAGCAACAAAATTCTGGTCATCTTAGATCTTTTGCTTCAACATCTAGAGGTATGTTTAATTATATATTGTCTTTTTTACGTGATAAATTTTAGAAATTCTTTATTCAATTTTATATGCATTTTAAAATTGTTAATGTAAATGGAACATATACTTTTGAATTCT